TGAATCAGACACCTCATCGCTGACAGAGTCGGTGTAGTGACCGTCATGTTGTGGTTTGGTCACTGCCACACCATGTTCCTTATTGCCTCCACCTCCTCCTTGCCCATGAGGTCGGTGTGATGTTGGCTCTTGTGTATGCGATTCCGATGAATCAGACACCTCATCGCTGACAGAGTCGGTGTAGTGACCGTCATGTTGTGGTTTGGTCACTGCCACACCATGTTCCTCCTTGCCTCCACCTCCTCCTTGCCCATGAGGTCGGTGTGATGTTGGCTCTTGTGTATGCGATTCCGATGAATCAGACACGTCATCGCTGACAGAGTCGGTGTGGTGGCCGTCATGTTGTGGTTTTGTCACTGCCACACCATGTTCCTTATTGCCTCCACCTCCTCCTTGCCCATGAGGTCGGTGTGATGTTGGCTCTTGTGTATGCGATTCCGATGAATCAGACACCTCATCGCTGACAGAGTCGGTGTGGTGGCCGTCATGTTGTGGTTTGGTCACTGCCACACCATGTTCCTCCTTGCCTCCATCTCCTCCTTGCCCATGAGGTCGGTGTGGTCTTGGCTCTGGTGTAGTGTGAAACTCATCCTGGAGTATCGGTTTCCCAATAACTGTGACTACAAATGTGCAGTATTTTCTCTCAAATTTCTTTTCTGCAGATATTAACTCTGCACCAGGTTTGTGGTTATCTTTTGGCAATGTGTTTACGTGCTTTGCCTAAAGACTTTTAAAGGTCACCGCAAAGTATTGTTTTGTCTTCTCTGTTTCCGCTAACCAAAACACATTCTTTGCAGTATTTGATCTGTCGAACAATTAAGATCTGAGTGGATCTCTGGCAGATTGAAAATAGACTTAACGGATACAAAGTTGAAGTCACAATTTTATAATTCCAATTAGATAAATATGTCATTTCTTTTTGTTAACACTAAGCCAATTTCCTCTGACAGTGTAGTGGACTGTCATGTTGGATTGTGAAGTAGTGCAAGCAAGCCACCACAATACAGTTGAACATGACTCACTCAACTCATGATAAATCTAGTTTTTTTACATTTAAAACGAAGTTATCACAAGGCTCTGTCTTGCGTTACTAACTTGTTAAAAGGTTTGTCTTTTTAAAATACCAAAAGTAGTTAAATTTGAGTTGCATTTTTTATTCTTTTTCAGTTTTCTGTAACTACATTCTGCTTATTTAGCAAACTTATCATTTTTCAATGCTTGAATACAAGTCAATTACTTACCGTACAGTGGAATCAGCTACGCTTCCAATGACTCTTTTATTTGATGGACTCAAGAGATGAGAGATGGTCTGCTTTAATGCATGCGTTAAGATCTATCTTAATTCAAACGTAGGACGTAAGGCACGGAAGCTTATGTGTTTGTTGATTCTCAAAAACTAACTTCGTACCATTTTTACCTTCAGGCTGTAAGCTACTTCTAACATAGCAAGGAATATTCGAATGTATTTTTTGATGGGTTGTGCATTAAAATTTGACAACCAAATAGCTTCAGGATTATGCATTTCTAAATAACTGAGAGCTGAGTTCTCCATTAAGCCGTGTAGCCAGATATCAGTGAGGCATTTATCTGAATCAACCAGTAGGATAACTACACAGGCTAACCCCACACACTCACGGACACTGAACTACTAGGTTTGACAGACACGGAGTGTTTAAATACGACTGGAAAATTATGCGCGCGACAAATATCACGAAATATTGGTTCAGTTTTAACTCACCTGCAAAAAGGAAAGTCAGAAGTGCCCACATTGTGTCCCTACAAGCAGAAAGGCGCCACAAACTAATTCTGAACTGAGAGCGCGGACAGCTGCAAAATACAATGTGCTTACAGGAAAAACTAGGCGTCCGTGTTTTCACCAGCACCGTTTAGCATGCTGCAGTGCAGAAATGCAGTTGGTTTTATAGCCCACGTTGACCTTGTTTGTAGGCCACGCACCCGAAGCCTTCGAGCACCAATCCACAAGCTTCAACGTGCAGTTGCCTGGTCCTCAAATGATAAGGCTAGTAAAAGTCGAAATCAAAGGAACCAATAGGGCCAACACTCGTTTTCTTAATGCTTCTAAGTGCTCCTGAGTAATATTGTCTCTGTTTCCTAAAATATTTCAAGTGAAGAGATAAAACAGTGCAAACGACTGTTTTTTGGCAATTTCCTAGCATTTCTAACTTAAAATTTACTTTGTGTTGCAACAAAATACTGCTTAAATTCCCTTCTTTTCTGCAACCATGTTTTTCCCGAAGTTCACAGCTCCTGTTCCACCACTATTTGCATTATTAAAGTTGACGTTGGTGTTGAAGATCGAGACTTTTTTGTTCCATGGATCTCAACTTGTTCACTTCGTGAGATCTCGTACATAATGAATTTTAGCATATCCACTTGAAGACAGGATAGGCGTACTTTCGGTTTCGCTTTATCAACTAATGTTTTACGAAGGTTAAGCGTGTCCGTAACCCAGTGCTTGGCAATATTCTGTCCTCTTAGTTCATTGTTAAAAAACACGGCACCTTGTAGATAGATTTGATGAAGAAAAAGACCTGAAACTACTGTCTCATACTTTTTATGCTACAAGATCAGTAATGTGTGCAAGTGATAATGCAAATTTGAATGCAAAAGCAACAAGCAGACAAAACTCTATACAAGAAGTTTTGGATTAAAACATGAAACGATGAAATGGCCAATATGTGAGGTACAATTTGTGAGCTTTTCTACCTCACGTTTGAAGACCTTTAGAACGAATTTGGTGCCAGTTTAGATTTTCTGGCCCCAAGAAAACATTTTTGTGATTTATTGGTACCTCATTAGTCAAATGTTTGCCTATGTCTTGGTTTCGAAGTGTTCGAGAAGGTAGAAGAGACGCGCGCACGTTCCATACACTTAATTCTAATCACAAACACACAATTCATCTGTTGCACCATTAAAGAGCTCTCGATGGGTAAAGGATTTTTACTAAAAATAGTGCAATCAGCAAACCAATCAATTAGAATTGGATTTATACTGAAGTTTTACGTTATAGTGTACTTTTGTAAGAAGAGTTTTAAAACCAGATTGTTTTTCCCAATTTATCAATACCAGTAAGTCCGGTTTAAATCAAATGCAAATTGAAAAATTTAGCAAAACTGGTATTTACGAACTTGAAGACTCTGATACCTAATCATTTTAACGGCATCAACTAAGACCAAACAGGTGGTGCATTCGATTTCTGCTCTGAAACAGGTACACGAGCCACATAAAGACTTATTGTCAACTGCGGGAAAAGATTGTTGATTGCGAGGCAAATCATCTAACTTCTGTACTCTGGCTTAAAGTTTCTGCAGGTAAACCACAGGAACGGAAGCAGGTGAGAATCAGTGTCAAGTATCTATCAAGTCAAATAGCATTTTGAGTAAGATTTGACCGAGTAAGAAGTGTCTGTTTACAAGGTCAAACTCCGGAACATGGATAAAGGTATAAAGCAAAGTTGGTTTATTCGGTAATTTTAAAACCATTAGACGAGTCTAGGGGGACCGTCTCGTGGTTGTTGACATCACAGGATGTGACTTTATAAATCGGCACGGTTACACACAGCAGTGATGCGAAAAATTCTTCAATTCGGTTGGACAATTTTCGCATTTCCTCGCCATCTGGTAGAACGCCATCAACTTAATGTCGATCTCTTCTTCGTTAGAAGAAGTGGGCGGTACATGTTGGGTCGGAAAAGTGTGTTGCGAATCACGTTTATTCAACTCCTTGATCCGATCGCTTCGCCTCCGATACAAGGCTCCCCTTCTCGCAGCATGGCGACAGCCGCGCAAATCCTCAACTCCCCCCTTCATTCACACGTAAATGTATACTGGATTAACCTCACACCTAGATCTCGATGTTAGCGCATGTATGACCAACACGTCCGAGGTATAAATACACACGCGCAAACCCCACACTGGACACAACGACACCAACGAGATTGAGCTCTGAAGTAAACGGTTGTGTCCCGTCATCTCCGGTCCTCTTCTTCATCGCGGGCATCAGGCAAGCGTAATCGGGCCAGGGTTAATCCCGTGGCCCCGACGTAGTCCTAGGGCCACATGCGGGGCCCACAACAATTGCTGACCCCGACGACAACAAGTTCGTCTAAGGAAGAATTTTGCTCAGCCTCAGTAAATTTGGACAATGTAGATGATAAAGGGTCTCAAAAGCATTCGGAAATTAACTATGAGAATGAAGATATATTCGATACGAAACTAAGAATACCATGGGCCACATTTATGCCTGAATAAAACACTGATGTGAGCATTTATTTGCTTACAACAAACTCGACATCTGGAGAATAAAGGCTTTGTCATATTTAGTTTGTTAAGTTATTGTAAATGTTCAAGGGCTGCCCAGCTTTTACCTTCAGCACCTTTAAAAAAATTATCAGGCAAGCTATTCAACTGTGCTGTAACCTCACAGCAATGCAGTTGATGGCCTTTGTGCCACTCAAACTTTATTATCACCTCGCGTTGCATGCAATGCGCATCTGCACACCGTTAACCCCCTGCGCGAACGCCTCATCAAGATGCACCCACATTGTAAAACTCCATGATCATAACTCACAACTCTTATGGGATGACTGATGATGCCATAATTTGTAGCGAGTGCCTTTTTGCATACAATATGAAGTTAAATTTTAACCACAAAACAGCCCTTCACACTCCTAACTTGCATCACTGAAGGGTTACTGTGTTGATTACCATCACAACTTTTCTTTACACTACAGAACATGCTACATTTGGGTGTTTCCGTGCCAATATGTCTGACTCCATGATATTTGTCTGCGCGGAAGCAGTTATCGCGTCAGTGGGGGGTATTAAGTTACACTGCTCAGCCTACACTGTTTTCGGGCGTTTTAGAAGTTCACTTTGATGTTGGCACATTCGTTGACCTTGACCGTGTTGAAGACGAGGCCTCACTCACAAGTGATTTTCTTAAAGTCAAATTTAAAGAGTCATTTATATCGCTTCGGCAGGTAAGGAATTCTCCTTGTTACTCAAACTATGGATACCAAAGGCGCCACCAGTCCATGCGTTTTACGGCCACTTTAGCATTTGGTGTTACTTACATTTTTGGTGTGGAGATGCGTGCTAATGATCGTATTAACTGAACGTGTTAACTTAAGTAAAATTTCTGTGTGCGAATAATTTGACTTGGATTTAAAAGAATTTTAAAAGCATAAAATTGCGTGCAACTGCTTTCTGTTTAAATTATCAGCTAATATTAGGGTTGTTAGAAAAATCGCTGACTTGAATGAATCTTTTCGTGTAGTATATCGGGATATGGGAGTCATTGTGTGTGTGTGTGTGTGTGTGTGATTTTCTCCCAAGGCACATCGAGTCATGCCTGGAAACGGTTTTTCACGAAAGTTAAGTAAATCTTTAAGTTTTACAGCTGAAGATACTATAATGCATAATTAGGATAGTGACTGTCTAAATTACAGGTTGAAATAACTGATAAGGACCAAAAACCACGTTATATGGTGTGCATTCCATGCGCCACAGTAACTAGCAAACTAAATAGTAAATAAGATTTGCCCTGTTATGTAGCCATCGCCAGATACAACTGCAGTTGCGCTAGCTCTGTTCATAGACTACTCACAAGGGGTTTGAATAGACACGACCGTGGCACTTAATTGGCCTAGGCTGATGTGAAAAAGACACTGTTTTTATGTACAGCAGCCTGGATAAAATACAACAAAAAATAGCCATTTCAAATGAGAAGGTCTTTGCCGAAATTGTGCACCAAGTCTTATAGATGCATTGGTTTTGACCTACACAGCTCTAGTGGGTGAAACAGTACAAGCACAAAATGGACACTCAGTTTTACCAATCATTCAATGGCTAGTTTGCTTTCATGGTTCCCCATCTTATCCATCAAATAATGACCCCTTTCGTTTCATTGCCACCACCCGTTTAAGCTAATATACTGCTTTCCTGAGGACGCTTCTTGTAAATCGCGTTGATGCACGCTAGCACATCCGATCACTTCGGCCTCCGAAACATGTTCCCCACTTTCACGGTATGTCGCCAGTCGCGCGGATCCTCAAGTTCCCCTCATTAGCATGAACATTTATCCTGGATAATCCTCACACCTAGGTCTCGATGTTAGCTCATCTGACTCATATACCTGATGCCTAAATGGACGCGTAAATGCCACCCACGACTCAACGACACCAACTTGATTGAGCTCTGAAATAAACGGTTGTGTCCACGTCCCCTTCGGTCTTCTTCATTGAGGGTTGCATTAAGCGTAACCGGGCCAAGGCTGACTCAGTGGCTCCGGAGTGGTTCACGACCACATGCTGGGGCCCGCAACACCCAAAAGTGATCGATGGCGGTATATTAGCCGGCGGAGTTCCTGACGCCTTCTGGTTTAAAATGCCCCTCATATGTAACTGTAGCCATTTTCATTGAAGGTAGTGCCAGTGCTCACGGACCCTTATTGAAAGCCCCGTTGTAATCTTTTTTGACAAAAGGAAATTTGTATTTGCGGTTGGTTAAACTGTAGTGTCTAAGGTCTTAGCACTACCTTACAACCCTCTAGTTAACAGCCCGCAACTACCCGAGGATAGGGGAAAAAGCGGCGACAGAGAACACGACCGTTTATTAGAGTCGAACCAGCCAAGTGGCTTTGTGGGCGTATGAGTTCGCGTGCGTTACACTCGAATTCTGACAGAGATCAGTAACAAAAGGGGTGTCATCGGTCCACTCGGGCCCCCTTGCAGGCATCGCTCACGCGA